CGAAAACCCCCGTAGCGCACAAGCGGCTCTCGCAACGCTCGGTTACTCGAACATGCAGAGCGTTTTGTGCTGGGGTCAGGGGGCGTCCACGCCTTCTCCTTTGCGGAAGGCTTTCTGGCGCACTGTAGTTTGTAACACGGCCTTGAAAATGCTTACTGTGTTTCAGCTGATAGGAAATGATTTTAAAGAATTTCGTGTCCTTTTAGTGTATATTTTGCGTGGTAAGTAGAACACTTTAGAAGCAGTTCTTCAAGCAGATACGAGTTTCCTATTTTTAATCTATGTATTTGCAAGTTTCAAAACATCCCACGTTTTCTATTGGTTTCCTTTTAATAATATATTAGAATTAATTACAGTTTAAAATTGCATACAAGTTTGTGGTAAATCACTAGCGTTTGCTAAATACCTTCCAGAAAGAGAAATATTTGGAAACTTCCTGCAGTCTGTTTTTAGATAGAGATCCTGGTTCGCAGGCGTTAGGATAGGGGATGCAAGGTCCACTGCAGAACGAGAAGGGGAAAAGATGCCTTACCTGGGCTGGCGAGGAAATTACTTGAGCCTGAAGTTTTTGTATTCTCTTCAGCTAACTGCCTCGTCCTGTCTGCTGGCAGCTTAGCGTGCCAGTACTGTGAGGAGTGAATGTGAATTGATACTGTAACTGTTTTTCCATCAGATGGACACATGAAAATAAGAGGAACAGTAAGCAAGACAAAAATACACTAATAAAAAGCAGTAATACAGTACAGGAAATCTTAAAAATTTAAATATATCAGTATTCTCTTAAAGGTACTTGTCTGATACTGTCTTAATTCTCTAAAACAGGATTAAGAAAAAAAGTTCATTTGCAGCTAGGGCTCTGGATGTGGTCATACAAAAAAGGTTTAAAAGTTTGTACTGGTTTTCAAGCTTTACTATCATGTCATTAGAGGGGAAATCTTTTTTACTCTCTTTAAAATAGGTAGTTTGTGTAGTTCAATGATTCTGACAACTCTGTATTGTGGCTTCTGCTTAGAAGCTGTTCGTGAAACAGTCAATCACTTCTTTTGATTTTTGCCACTATATCCGATTTGCTCCATCTACATGGCAAAAGGAAACAGAAGAAGTATTTTTAATTAACTAGAAAATCTGTGGGATAAAAAAATTGTCAAATGGTCTGATAAATGTGGTGAATTTAGTACTTCAGACTTTATGGAAGATTACTAGATTGTGATTTAGCAGTTGCTTGAACAACCTTTGATCTGTATTTTAGCTTATTTAATATGCATTAAAAAATCTCATAAGAAGTCTCTAAAAGCATGTGGCTGTGTACTAAGAGGGAAAAGCCAAAAATATTTTCTATGGAGATTACATGGAATAAATAATGTCACACAACTTTTCTCAGTGATAAGGTGGAATAAATTCTTTGTAAAGACAACTATCATGTGGAACAAACAGAAGCAATAAAAGTAATCTCTGAAAAGGGACTGTGAAGCGAATTGCTGTTACAAAAGATATATAATAATATATCTTAATATATAACTTAATATATAATATCTGGAAAATTTGTACCTTTTATTTTTATATGCTTTCATTTTGCATAGGGAGGCAAACATTTCATATTATAACAGATTATAAATTAAAATGACTTCATTTTAGCTTTCCTTGTATCTGCCCCAGTGTCAGCAACAACAGTGTAGTACAATATGTCAGTGACTTTTTATTCTTTGAAGCTGATTGTGCAGACATCAAAAGAAATCCAGCTGTATCCAATTTGGTGGAATGATTTCAGTAACTTACATAGACTGCTCAAATAAGGTTTTTTCTTTCTCAGTAGACCTAATGCGTGCTGCTGCCATCACCTTGATAATGTTATGCTGATGGAATCATGCCTGCAGTTGAAGAGCATTCAAGTTTGCTGAAGGAATGGTACGTTGATAGTTTTCGTAGTTAATGATTGTATCTCCTAAAGCAAGACTTCTAGACTTTTCCTTAATCTCTGAGTTAAGGGAATTTGATGGGCCCGTTTTGGTGTACAACGACGTTTGCCACCAGTGGTTTGTGCTCTGCAGCTTGGAACCAATTTTGTAGGTTGTAGAATACATAGTTGTTAGCCCTGTGTACGAATTGGGGATATATTAAGAAAACAAATTGGTACTTAGCAAATTTCAATAGATAAGGCTGTAGCTTCCACTATAATTTGGGGAATTAAGTTGCTTTTCTTATGTGCAGTGGGGTATTTCAGCTGATGCGTTGTGACTTTTCAATATCCTGTATTACAGAGGTGGTCAACCTTCCTGATTAGAAGCCACATAACAAAATCTTTATGTGTTTACAAGACATAGACCACATACTAAAGAGAGCAGAGTGGAAAGGCTCATAAACAGGATACAGTAGATACCACTGTGGATGCCTATATAGAACCAGAGGAATACAGTGATGCCGGCTCAAGAGCCTCTTGCTGTCTCACTTCCTTTTACCACCAATAGTTGTATTTTCTGGCATTTCTTGGACTCCAGTTTGGGCTTATGGAGTGGTCCAGTGACAGCAAGCCTCACTTTGCTTAGTCACGCGGTGCCTGCATGTTAAAAAGCTCAGGTTTACCTTCACAATAGTAGCATGATAGCACATGTGCCTTTTAAAGGCAGATTTCTAAATCTGAAAACTTATCAAGTGGACAAGCTGTGTGGTGTAGTAGACACGCTGGAGGGAAGGGATGCCATCCAGGGGGACCTTGACAGGCTGGAGAGGTGGGCCTGTGCGAACCTCATGAAGTTCAACAAGGCCAAGTGCAAGGTCCTGCACGTGGGACAGAGCAATCCCAAGCACAAGTACAGACTTGGCAGAAAATGGATTGAGAGCAGCCATGAGTAGAAGGACTTGGGAGTGCTGATGGATGAGAACCTCAACATGAGCCGGCAATGTGCACTGGCAGCCCAGAAAGCCAACTGTATCCTGGGCTGCATCAGAAGTGTGGCCAGCAGATCAAGGGAGGTGATTCTGCCCCTCTACTCTGCTCTCGTGAGACCTCACCTGGAATACTGCTTTCAGCTCTGGAGTCCCCAACATAAGAAGGACATGGAGCTGCTGGAGCGGGTCCAGAGGAGGGCCATGAAGATGATCTGAGGGCTGGAACACCTCTGCTATGAAGACAGGCTGAGAGAGTTGGGACTGTTCAGCCTGGAGACGAGAAGGCTCCAGGGTGATCTTATAGCAGCCTTCCAGTACCTGAAGGGGGCCTACAGGAAAGCTGGAGAGGGACTTTTTACAAGGGCGTGTAGTGGTAGGACAAGGGGCAATGGCTTTAAACTGAAAAGAGGGGAGATTTCAATGAGATCTAAGGAAGAAATTTCTCACTCTGAAGGTGACGAGGCACTGGAACAGGTTGCCCAGAGCAGTTGTGGATGCCCCATCAAGTGTTCTTGGCCCGATTTGATGGGGCTTTGAGCAACCTGATTTAGTGGAAGGTGTGATTTAGTGGAAGGTGTCCCTGCCCATGGCAGGGGGGGTGGAACTAGGTGATCTTTAAGGTCCCTTCCAGCCCAACTTTTCTTAGTTAGTGCTTGTGAGCACATGTCAGTGTTCATCATTGGGAACTTCTCTGAGAAGAATCCAGGCTGTAGGTTTTTCTCAAGCTTATTTTACTCAGAAGATTAAAAGGTAGAGACATTGATTTTTAACTGGTAATTATGACTGTACTTAACTGCTTTAATTCTGTCTCATTACAGGTACCTCAGAGTTGAATTTTTTTTAATACAGCAACTATACAGGATGAAAGAAAAATCATCTCTTGTTTTTCAAACACTTGAGTTTGTTCTTTGTAACAACATGGTTTACTGTGAAAAGTGAGAGAAGAATCTGTCAAAGACACTTTAAAGGCAGCTGTTGGGCCGAGCAAAATGCTTTGTTTGAGGCAAGTTTGCTTGTTTACGCTGAGACGTTACCAAGCTCGGACTGTGAGTAGTGACCTGCTTTTGAGCCAGATAAAGAGCTGCACCCATGAAGACGAAGTGTTCAGCCTTGTTGGAAGGAACGAGGCCAAGCTTTCTGAAAAACATGTGGGAATTGCTTTGAACATGCTGTGGCAGTTGCAGAAGAAGAGGCCGCTTCTCTTAAGGACTAGCGATTATATAAGAAATCACTCCCAGTTTCTTACCCTTTGCGTATTAGCAGAAAACAAGGTGGAACACATGGAAGATGAGGCCGTAGTGGACACCCTGTATAGTATTCTCAGGTAAGCAGCATTATATTGAATTCAACATCTGTACATTTTTTTATTTGGTAATAAAAAGAGATGGAATTTTGACTACAAAGCCATCCTATAAGGGAGCTGGGAGACTGCTGTGTCTCAGCTTCCATCCTCTGACTGTGTGACACAGGCAACGTCCTGTGCCTCAGTTTTTGAGATGCAGGCAGAACTGATCTGTTCCGCACACCCAGTAAATGGAGTTACGATTATTAATGCACAAATGTTTATAATCTGTTTGAATGGAGGGGGCGACAGAAAAGTAAAATATTATGATAAATAATGAAGGGACATATGTCTTGTTTCTTTATAACTTTCGAAGCAAACTTCAAACTATTATGCCTTTCTTCTGAAGGCTCAATGTTGAAGACCACGATTCTCTAGCAGAAGTCCTTGTTACAGAAGCGTGGAAAAGATTAGAAAGGCAAGTATGGTACTACTGTGCTTTGTGAAAGGTATAAGTTGCAAGCGTGATCTGCTTCGTGTGAGTCTACACAGTTCTCAAAGAGTGTTTATGAGATGTTTTACATGTGGGTATTTTGAATGTCAGTTGTATTTTTGAAGGTTTTGGAAATTATTTTTAGACATTTGGAGTCTTTGGATATTGATGGACTTTGGTACACAAATGCTTGAGAGATTCCGATACTGCAGCCACAGGGACTGACACTTGAGATTTTGAAATATAATGTCTGTATAGATTTATGTGCTTGAAGTAAATTGCAGATTTTAATATTTACCGTTTTATCTTAGCGCTTGCTGTCCAATTCTTAAAACAGTTGTTAGAACTCTGCTAATCTCAATTTTAGTAAAAATCTTTTGTTTTTACTAAACATCAACATTTTCCCTTTGTGTGTTTTTTTTTGTTGTTGTTTTGTTGAGTTGTTTTGATTTTTTTTTTTTGGGGGGGATTGTAACATTTTCTGTTAATGGCAGAAGCTAGTGTCACTCTTGGCACCAGCATCACAGAATTGTCTCTCCCAGCTTAACATCTGGGGCATCTTGACAAGTAAATAAATTCAGTGTAGCTTGAACACAAAATGACATTCAGGTAATAAATTGCTCATGTTCATTTTAACTATTTCACATTATTCCTTGAGAGTGTAATCTTTATAGCTTTCTTACGCTGATCCAGTTAAATGAGGAACTTCTGGGTTTTGTAGAGCTCCATATGCGCGATATGCTTTAATATGAAATACCCGGGTGTTTTGGCTAAGTGCAAGGTATCACTATAGGTGACCAAATGGAAAATACTTAAGATATTTTGTTTCCTTTTTTCATAATTTGAATGTAACCTTGTCTTTTATATAATTGTTGAACTAGATTTTTGTCTTTAGTTATTCACTAGAAATAAAAGATAAATATTCTGTCTGTCTGTCTTTGATGTCTTGACAGGCTTAGTTTGCCAGCTCTGTCTAAATTTGCACTGTGTTTATACAAGCAACGCAGACATTTCAGTCCCGTAATTGGCAAAGTAGCTCATATTGTGGACATGAAACTGGATTCTATACAGGATATAAGGTAAGTGTCAGAATGAAGTTTAGTAGCAGGAGAAGCAATATGACACAATTACTGGGATGCTTTTGTTGAACACTTTCCCTTTTTCTCAACTGGAGGTTGTTTTTCTTCAGTCTGGGATTTGTGGGAAAGAGGTGATTTGTATTCACACATTGATTTTCATGGACAGGTCTGCTTAGGTGAATGCATTTTCCCAATGATTTTGCAAAGAATTTCTTTATAACCAATTTAAACACTTAATTAAAACTAATATTCGACTTACAGTGGAAAAACAGCATATATTGCTTTATCCTGATTCTAAATTTTATATGGATTTTTTTTAGAATTTAGAGGCTATTGACTCACCAGAAGATGTTTTTCTTCCTTCACATTGATAGTTTCTCTACTAAGACATAGATTTAGTTTACTATTGTGAATGGCAATAAGGAGTCTTAAAGCTATGTTATTTTTATTTATCCTTAGAGCATTGGGTTGTGGTGGGTTTTTTTGATCAAGTTGAATTAATCAATTCCTGTGCTAGCACGTCTAGTGCATTACTCTAATATTAAAATTACTTAAAACTCAGCTCTAATCAAAGAAGTCCAAGCTTCTTTTCCTTGACTCTGTTCCACCTAGGCCATTATAGCAAAGGATACTCTTTTTTCTGCTTCGTACCACACCAGCAGTCCCAACTCCACCTAGGCCATTATAGCAAAGGATACTCTTCTTTTTTTCTGCTTTGTACAACACCAGCAGTCCCAACACTTATTTTTGCAGATGTGAGAAGCCTATTTATGAAACTCATTGAATGGAACTGTGTTTCTTTACAGAAATGACTCTCCCTGTGGTCATAAGTTTTATTCCCTTAGGAATGACTCCTTTAGGAGTGACAATGACTCTTCTCCCCATTCTGTCACTTGATAATTGTTTGAGTTTCTTTAGTTTCAGTTGAACATTAAAGATCTTTTTGCAAATTTGAATCAGGCAAGTCTGGGTCTTGCCTTAGGCAAACGCTTTCATTGCATACAACTTTGTAAGAGATGGTTGAAAAATCCCAGTCGTTTCAGAAATTCACTGAAAGCAGAATTTTGACTTCAGTAGGAGAAACGGTTTTTATTCATCTGTTTTTTTCTGTATTAGATTTAAAATTCCTATTTACACGGAAGCCAGCAACACCCTGACTAACGTTCCTTTCTTTGCGTAGTTTATTTAAAGAAATCTAAAATTTATTACTTATCGTGTTCCATAGGTAAGTGTAAAATCTTTTGAATTTTTTAGGATCTTGACAGTTTTGATGATCAGCATATCTGATGTTATCTCACAGAGTTTTCGAGATCGATTGCTACACAAGGCTGAACAGCTCTTGGAAGAAAAGGGTGAAGTCCACTTCAACTATGCCAAAAGAATAGTACACTTTCTTCAAAATGTTAAACTGAGATATCATCCATTGCTAGAAAAATGCAACAAGATTTTCCTTAAAAGTGCCTCCCATCTTGATATACACAGTATTAGTCTTATTTTTGGACTGTACGAGCAGCTGGGTTTTGACAGTGCTGAATTCCGCTTGGTTGCTAAACAGCTGCTGGCTGAGACTATAGATGATTGTTATGATCCTGAAACCTTTGCAAAATTGTTTTTCACTCTTGGGCCTATGGCAGGATCCAAGGTAAGAGAAAGGTAAGTTTATTAATAGTTTTGTCTTATTTTTGATATACACATAGTCTGGCGTAGAAATTAAAAATGTAGCGGTGTTTGGCTGCATTTCTGGCCTGTCTGCGACAGGAGCGTTGCGTTTCTTAGTTGTAACTTTGTAGCAACTTATTATTTCATTATGGAAACACTGTCATAGCAGTTTGTCTTAAAAAAGTTGCATAGAAAGCTGGATCCAGTAATCAAGAGGTGTGTGAATGCTGTTATGCAAGGCCTGTTACCTTGTGGCTCTGTCTCTTAGACTACAGCCTTCCTTTGGCAGTGAAAGGTAGACTTTTCCGTCTTTCCCCTGAGAAATATATGCGGTGGTATGTGTTGCTTTTTCCTTTTTAAGAATGGCAGTAGCTGAAACAGTCTGAGTCTTGTCCTGTCCCAGTTTGCTGTACATCTTATTCTATATGAAAGGTCATCAGCAGGGAATGCTTCAGCATTTATTTAGCAATTAGAGCATGTTATTATGTGGCAGATTTTTCTCTGCCTGTTTTTCTTGTGCTACAAAATCCTATTTGGGGGTGGTATTAGTCATGAGTCTCTCAAAGTCTGCCATTTTAGGCAGAATTTGCTGTATTAATTACAACTAGTCATATTTTTCAGACTTTTCTTCATGAACATTTGCCTCTGTTCAGAGATCTGGATATACTGCAAGCCTGTGTTGTTTTTTTCCATAGCTAACTTATTTCCAAAAGAAATTCCTAGATTTTTTAAAAAATCTATTTTATTTTTGGTAAAAATCAGTGGGAGGTAGAAAAAGTCATTGGCTTTATTTGCCCCAGAACCAGTTCAACTCATGTTTGATTCCGTTATCTGTAGCTTACTGATGATCATGAACTGTTTAGTATCTTACGGTACCTTCCCTACTGCTTGTCTTCTTTCAGAACTGTTGGACTTGCTGGTTTCTAGCATCAGAGCAAAATGTAGTGATCTAACACACTCGCTTCTCTTTATCTATGCCATGCAGATGAACTGTTTAGAAGAACGGTCCGCAGAACAAAGGTCTCTAGTTTGGGGGAGTTTGTTTTCCTGTATTTCCTGAGGTAGTCTAGTGGTTCTTTCCCTCCTAGACAAAGAACATGGTTGCAGTCTTTGCTGGAGATTTGAAGCGTTTTTTCTTTGGAAAATAGATGTTTTCTTTTCCTTTTTAGGTTGCTGATAACTGCAGCGTGCATGGCAGAAGAATTTAGCAGTCATCAAGTATTGATAATACTGAAGACAATGCAGAAAATGAAATGCAGAAATTCTCATCTACTCAAAAAGTAATTTTTTTTGTACTCTAAGAAGTTGTATTCTCTAGGTAAACTATTTCCATTTAGTAAGGAAAACTATGTAACATCCAGCAAGTTGGGAGTGGAGGGTGTGTCACTTGCACACAAATGAATATACATAATATATAATTATCTATTACAGATTTTAGACTATCACAGCTTGACCTAGAAGTAATTGAGGGAATTTAGGAATTTCTTAGAAGGGCATTTCAGCCCTGCCAAGTTAATGTAATATAGTTTTTGGCTTATTTACAAATAGGTGATCCTGTTTGAGTAAACTTAGCCTCTAACAATTACTATAAACCGGTGAGACAAATGACAACATAGTAAGTTGCAGAGAATATGTCCTATGTAGGAGATCCTGTTACTGATTGTGAGTTGTTTCTTCAGAAGTCATTGTGCCCTACTTTGAACTATCAGCTCTTGTGTCTTTAAGAACCTGGGCCAGATTTTCTGCAGTTTTAGACCGAATGTTGTTTATAGGGAAAGGTAATATCTTTCATACAATGAAGAGAAAAGCAGTTACAATTTTGAGCACAGAAAATGTAGCATCAGATATGTCACAGATGCAGTAGATTTAAATGCAAGTTGTGAGCAGTAACTGGATTGAATGTAGTTGTCTGAACCAAATAGATCCTCGGAAGAAAAAGGACAAGTAGTACCATGGAGCAGAGTGGTATTAGAGAGAAGACCAGGTGAATTCATGCTTCTTTGCCTTGAATCTCACTGTGAAAAGAAGGTCTTATGGTATTGTCTTTCCCTACAAATCTAGCCCCCTCTTGTAGCTTTAGACGAACATAGCTGTAGCAACCACTATTATCTAAGTGAGTAGAGTGGTGCTGAAGCTGGTTGTGCTGTTCTAGTTTATCCCATTCTTGATGCACTCTAAATTTAACTGATTGTGAAATCTGCAACAGAAATGATTAGAGTGCACTAGCTGTTTTGCTGGGACGAGGGCTTTAATTTTGCAATTCACTAAGTGGAGAGAAGCTGCTGTGTCTTAGTGGAACACTGTCAAAACTGAGGTGGAGAGGAGTGCAGGTATGTGCAACCCTCCACCTAGGTACTGTGCACCAGGGGACACTCCTTCATGCGGGATTTTGGGTTTTGGAGTATCTTCTGTGTTAACATAATACCATGCCATCTTTTTCTCTTTGTATTCAGAATGTCTTCTGTTCTGCACAAACACTTGGATAGCTATCCTTTATCACAGTTGGTAAAGTTAACGCAGTACTTGGTGGCATTGCGTTGCCCTGATCTGGAGCTGTTTGCCAAACTAAAAATGTTACTATTTGGGTAAGTGTGTATTCTTGCAAACATAGCTATTTAAGTATTAAACAGTTGTCTACTTAATATTTTAAATAACAAGCTAAGAAGTTAAATTGTTTTGTTTCCATAAAATATGAAGAAGTAACAAACTGTTGAAAGTATTTGATTCTATTAAACATGTAAATCAGAGGATAAGAAGTGGATATTGTCTTGACTGTAACCCAATAGTATCTGCTAATAGATACAATATCCTTTAAAAATAGATTTTTTTGCCCCTCGCCCCTTGGCTGCTGCAATATAATGGCTTTGAACAGAAAATTCTGATTGGTCCTTCATAGGTAGGGTTGGTATTAATGTCATCTTTGATGTTTGAAGGAACGAGTAACGAAAAATACACAGTAAGAATGCCATGGTTGGGATAAGTGAAAGTGTGAAGCAGAAGTACTCTTCTTTTGATTGAAGAACTCTCTAGTTAGTTCTCAGGCTTGTACACTTGCAACATAGGAAGGGCGAGGGTTTCTGGAATCATGGATGAGACATCTGCCACTGTTGCTTTGATTGCTCAGCCTCTACAGGAATGCAGTGCCCTGGCTGTACATGTGTTTTGTGGATGATGCTTTCATGGTCCTCAGGCACCTCAGAACCTGGTACTCCCCAGGACACAAGTCACAGAAATTATCCAGGCCCAGAAACCCCACAGACCTTCTGCCTTTACTAAGGACTCCTGTGTTTATCAGTAACACTTGAAGCCTCACCAGCTGACTGAGATGCCTTCTGTCTTCTTCCTTTTTTCAGTTTTGAATAAATTAAGAAGTTAATCTCAATGAAAAAAGATGGTAGTCACTAACTGTGTGAATTTCTACCATGTCATTAATATTCTGCTTGTTTTATATTTGATGTGCATCTTTTGACTTTTAAAATAGATTTTTCATGCATGTATTTTTTTTTTTTTTTTTAACATTGGCACTTTGTCAGTACTGATGGTCTGGTTTTATTTCTGTCTCTCTTCCAGTTTTTTAAAATCTAGTGTCATACCTGCTGATACTGCTGCAATAATTCGTGTTCTGGCCCTGCTTCCTTCCTTTCAAGTGGAAGAAATCATTATAAACAAAGCAGCAGCAGTTCTGCCTCAATGCAGGCTACATCATTTGAATTGTATTGCTACAGCTCTTGTCAAATGGAATAATTATGACCAGTTGCACTGGCAAAACAGTTCTGAGCTGTGTGTAAAGCTTCTGCAAAAACTAAATGACTGTGGATTTTGGAGGCTTCAGAATGCCAACAACTTAAATCTTCTGTTGGAAGAACTTACACATGTGAATGGAGAGTGGTTTGAAGAAGTCCTCAGTGAGGAAACTATGGCTACGTGTCAACGCTTGATAGATCAAATGACATGGGCAAATGTCTTACAGTTGTCTTTTTTTCTCATAAAAACAAACCACCGCTGTCCTTCGTTACTTGACAGAATAGCTTCTGTGACTGTTGAAAATGTATACAAGGTATTACGATTTTTCTTTCTATCTACTGTGTAGGTTATTCAGTAAGAAAGGACAGGGTAGTAAGTAGTTAGTGTGTTTCAGAGCACAATCCACACAGTGTTTCTAAGAGCTTTCCTCAGTGTACGTGAGTTGGAGCTCATGTTTTTCTTTGTTCACTCAAAGCTTCTTGCTTCCATCTATATAATTTTCACTTACTTCTCTTTAATTTTCCTTTCTTTTATTTTTTGTTCAGTCAGTGTTAGGTCAACCATAGTCCTTTGAATTTAGGTTTATGTTTGACCATTGTAAATAATTTTTTTTTTATAACTTCTTTACAAGTAGTCACATCACATGGTGTATATTTTGACATTACTCTGTCTTGTGCGGATTTCCCCAATAGTCTGTCTTTTTGGTCAAAAATACTGTGTTTTCTTGCTATCTTTTTTTTTCTCCTTGTCAATCTGGTATTTATATAGATCTTTGATTTTATTCTATGACACCTTAGTTTCTTTAAGACCATTTAATGGAAAAATTTTTTTAAAGCTTCTTAAAGTCTAACTTGGATGATAGACATGAAATAGATTTTAACTTTTAGCCATAGCTGCAATTTTAATGATTTCTGTATTTTATTTTTTTTAATATTTTTCTCCAGAAAAAGTTGACAAAGAAAACAATCTAGAAAACAGTTCATCTAGTCTTAAGTCTCCCAATTCTGAATGAATTATAACCCCCTTTTTTATTGTAAAGCAATATTAGGATATTTTGCAGTGACTTAATTTAGGATGCCTTTTTTCCAGATCCACCCCTTTGAAATCTATTTTATTCTCTTCCTTTTCTCTGCTCTGAATTATGACCCTCCTGCCAACGAAGAGTTCTTCGAGAGTTGTATCCAACATCTTACTTCTAACTTGAGTAAGTGCATTAGACAAAGATATTCTGACACTAAATAAATGAGTACCATTGGAAGATATTATTTGTACTAAATAAAACTGGGAATAGAATGGCAATTTTGTTTTAGGCAAAGAAAAAAGTGAGTCTGTATGTTACTACTAATACTCAACCTCCTGGGGTTAATCCACGACAAAGATTAAATGTATGCTTCTGTTGGGTTTTCTAGCTTCATCCTTTCAAAATTATCGTTGATAAGGGACTAGCAAGGTATCTTCTTGAGTGTAGTAAAAAGCAAGTGAAAATTCTTATTAATTTGCTGTGCTGTTATTGGATAGAATTGTGGTGGCGTTCCCCAAGGAATCATCATTTGGGGACAGGATACATTTTGTGATTCATCACAAAGAAATGGCTAAGTTGTAAAGGAAATGTGCAGAGACCTTTTTTTTTTTTTTTTGATTGATGATACAGCCTCACAGAACTGTGAAAATTTGCTGTCTACTGAAATATTGTTAAGTTACGTTTTTTTAAGACTAACTAGTTTCCCCCTGCAAAGACCTGGCAAGAGTTACTGTCTCGGTGCAGCTAGCAGAGGTAGCTAGTCCTTAATCTGCCTGTGCGTTCATTTAGTATGTTAAGAGAGAAACTTGGATGATTTGGGAGGCCAGGGGGAGGGCATTACAAATCTTTTCAACTTTATGTTCTGTGTTAACGTGGATTTCTGTCTGTTTTTTAAAGGTTGTTTTGAAACTCACCACTTGGTGCAGCTTGGTCATGTTTTGGCAGTGGCTGGGTATTTTCCTCCAGATTTGATAATGACAATATTTACTGTTTCTTTCCTAAGCAAATTGGATGCTCAACTTGAAGGTAGATATCTAGCGCTCTGATGAATTTGATTATGTAGCAATATGTATGTATGGAATTGCAGACCTGTATGTGACTTGAGAAGTAGAATTACTCCTTAAACGATTCAGTTTTCTGGAAAGACCTCTGTATATAATCTAGTCATTCCTTGAGCGCTAAAAGGGAAGGAATGAAGAAAAAAGAAAAATTTGTGCTTTGTTTTAAAAGTACAACTTGTATTGCAGTTGAGAGAAGCTCATTTAAAACAAATTTTATAGTCAACTTATTGCACTCAGTATTTAAATTTTTTTCAGTTTTCTTGGAAATAGAATTACCTGAATGTGATATTTATTACTAGAAATAGTCATAAAGCTCAAGAAATATTGTGAGATTCTTGTCTGCAAGAAATGAGTCCTGCCAGTCTCTTCTGTCTAAATAAGAGACTGAGCATTTTTGTTTCCTTCCTCTCTACCTGTATGTTGTTCGCTATCGATGTACTGTTGCCATTTTGCCTTCAACCACTTCATTAAAAGTTAAATGACAGAAGAGAGTTTAAATTGCTTCTTTCTTCTGCCTTGCTGTTGTTCTTAATATCGAGCAAAGCTGTTATTTTTCCTTTTTTCTGCAGTGATTTTTGAGAGCCTTTCTAAGATTCTGCAGCATGAATTTTATAAATGCCATAGTATACAGATATTTGCATCTCTAGTAAAGAATGCAGAGGTAGCCATTTAGTTCCATGTGTTGGATTTTTCACATTTCAGTTCACATCTTTTTGTTTTGTTTAACTCAGTCCTGCCTGATACCCTAAAGCAGAGGGTCCGCTTGTGCCTCATGAAATTGAACAGAGCAGTCTGTCTGGAATGCCCAGAGTTTCACATCCCTTGGTTTCATGAGCGCTACTGCCAAAGTGTCTTTTGTAACAGTAAGTAATTTAGGAGAGGAAAAGCTGCCCTTGTTACTAGTAATAATCTATTTTCAACAGTCTGCTGGATGCTTCCTCTAAAACTGTCATGTTGATGCTAGCACACAATAGAAGCTCAGAAAGGCGCACCCCACTATCTGCTGAGGATGCGTTCTTGAAAAGTGCAACCGTTCTTGAAAAGCGGGACAGATAGCAAAGCAGTTTTCCCCATGAGAATTAGTGTAACAGAGATGGGATATTTCTTCATAAGAAATAAAATTTAAATACACAGAAACAGTGTATATGGCATGGAGGATGGAGAGGCAGGAAGAGGATCATTAGGATTGTCTGCTGGAGGAGATGGATCACTTTGATCCCTGCTTTACTTACAAGACTGAGCATTTGACTTAAATTTTTCAAGATTAACGTTTCTGCTGCCTCCTTTTGAACTCTCTGCTGTCATCTTCTTCAGAAGAATCAGACCCATCAAGGATGAGAGATGGAGAAGTAGGCTAGTGATCAAGTGTAGCAGCTGAGATCTTTCAGAATAGTGATCAGTTCAGAAAATGCAGCTCACGCAAACTCAGTATCTCCTCCACTAATTGTCACGGGGAAGAGCTGCTTTGCTGTCCATTGAACTCAGCGGCTGAAGGTGGTTAATGGAGCAAGGTATTAAAGAATCTGCAGGAGACAGAGGACTGACAGATAGTGTGGTGTGCCTGTAATAGATGCAAAACAAGTAAATACTTATTGAAGCGTCTAAGCACAATTAAAAGCAAACAAAATCCAACAGGTGAAACCTGAAACTAAAGTGTTTGTAGTATGTGAATGGGAAAAATCTTGGGGTGGAAGGTCTGGATTTGAAATTCATGCGTAATAGCCACCTGCCACTTTCCATCCAAAGGATGATCACATGGTCACTGATTTATGATGGAATAACACCAGAGATCTGTGGAAAAGCTTTAATTCAGTAGGCTGGCTGTCAAAAATGCAGTGTCACAAAGTGCTATTTTCGAAACTTTGCCTGTGGAAGTTTTGATGTATGAATTCTTTATTTTGTCTTTGTAGGCAGTAGCCGAATAAATCCACTGCGACGGCACGTTCACAGAATGCTGACAGAGATCTTGGGAGGGAGCCATTATGCGAGAATATCTGTTCTCACACCATACTACTATGAAATAGGTGAGAAGTTAATCCTGTAAGGATTGTTATGGAGACCTGATACCACTATCATCACCAAGATTAGGAAGCCCCTGGGCATGTGGCCGCAAGATACTGCAAAGAAGAAACTGCTGTGTAAAATACAGTTTCTAAAAAGTTCTGCATAGTATAAATAATGTTCGATATCTCTAATTACGGTTATCACTTAGTTTTTCTAGAAGTAACCAGTGTACAGATCAAATTCACTTTTTTTTTTTTGTCAGTAAACAGGTTTGTTGTGTTTTCTCACAGATTTTGAGTGCGTTCTGGATGAAAATAAAAAGCCTCTTTCCTATATGGCTCAGAATATACCTTTGGATGGTGTAGAGGGAATACAGTTGAGAGATGACATCAAGGATGAAAGGAGAAAGGCTCTGCCACCAGGAGCTCAGAGGTCAGTACATCGAATTCTTGCACATTAACTCTTCCAAGCTTCCAAGTTTAGACCAAGTTTTTGATGCTTATGTCTTAAACAGTTGCTGTAATCCGTAGGCTCTTTATTTTTCTGTTCCTTTTTCCAAAGCCTTATGAGGTTTAGCCTTCGTAGGTGTGATGGATTTATCCCTGCAGTGTGATGTAGGAGAGAATCTGGAGGGCAAAAGTGAGGAAAAAACCTCCTGGGTTGCAATTAAGACAGTTTAATAAGTGAAGAGAAGAAAGAAGGTAAAAAAAAAAATCAAAAAGCGAAAACAATTGATGCAAATATAGTCAGTCACCACCAGCAGACCAGTGCTGGAGTAGTGGCTACCTTGGAAAAACTCCCCTCGTTTTATTGCTGAGCATGATGATATATGGTGTGGAATATTGCAGTTCCAGCTGTTCTGGAACTAATGACAGCTAGACATTATTATTGCAGACACAGCTGGAACTGTGTCCCCTCCCAACCTCTTGCCAATGCAGCCTATACACTGTGGGTGCAGAGTGAGAAACAGAGAAGGCCTTGATGCCGTGCAAGCACTCTTCAGCAAGAGCCAAAATATTGATGTGTTATCAACACTGTTTTGGCCACAGATCCAAAACACAGCACTGCACGGGCTGCCAGGAAAAAAGGTAACTCCGTCCCAGCCAGACCCAGTGCACTAGGGCAGCCAGGGCATTCTTGAAATATGTTTCCTGAGATTGGAATACTGTTTTCCTCCCACCTCTTCACATGTAAGCCTTGAAAACGCTGGTTAGCTGTTTTTGCCATTTGAACAAAAACAGATGCAGGGAGGAAATGCTTTTTTCTAAATCATGTGACATTCAAGTATCTCTAGATAAATATGAAGAAAATGTTTTGTCTAGTTTCACAAAGTTGTTTAATTTTCTTTTTCTATTAATTGTCAAGTTTGTCTAGTAATAGTCTTGCTGCAACTATCCACACTGAAGTAGAAATACCACTTCTTGTTATTTAGGTAGGACCTGAACGTAAACACATTTTTGTTGTTTGCAGAATTGCTTTGGAATTTCTTGATTCAAAAGCTTTTAGCAAAGATTCACGTCACTTGAAAGGAGAACCTGTAGTGAAAAAACGACACCTGGAAATGCTGGGGTACCGGGTAGTTCAGGTGAGCAGTCAGCAATATTTTATGTCCTTTCAGAGTTGTATCAATAGTGCAGATCGATATGTTCTCCTTGCAACAGATTTAAAGACAATTTTAATAGTTAAAAGCACCTACTAGGTGAGAGCAATTCTTTTATTTACGAGGGAAATTCCAAGCTGTTCTCAAGATGGTGTAGGGACTTCATAGAACTTGCACCTTCTCTGAAAGTGGCTGCCACAAAACTGAAGTCAAAAGGTCTCAGTCTTACCTTACTGCAGGCAAACCACCGATCTCAACGTAGCCTCAGTAAAGGAGAAACAGTGAAACGAGAGATTCAGTTCAATTCACCAAAGGTTTCTACACTAGAAAAAGATTGAACATACCCTCCTTGAGTGATAGAGAGACAGTTCCGGCAGCTGCAAGGTGGGATACGGATGCTGGCTGTCTGCTGCAGTGATAGTGCTGGGACAGGGAAGACGAGTGGCCAGAGATAATTCACAGCCACCAGCACAGAAACATTTGGGCAATGGAGGCTTATGAATGCAGATTCTCCTGTATATATAATTACCTACTCTAATTTTAGCTAGAATCCTTCTTAAGCTTAAAGTGTTGTGTTTTGGTTTTGGGTTGGGTTTGGTTTGGTTTGTTTCTTACACGATAATCATCCTTTCTGATATTGCCCTGACAGTAAATGTTATGCTACTGATTCACCATTCCAGTTTGCTACGTTAAAATTACAAACTATAGTGACCTGGCATTTTTCTCATGATTTGGGTTTCAAAAGGTGGGAGATGGTGAAATGGAGTTGCCGTAGCCTGTGTTGCATGGGCATGTGCTTCACATCTCTGCAACTGTGCTGCTTTTTGGAAGCAGACTGACTGTACTTACATGGAGAAGAATCTTACACGGAGAAATTAATCTTATCAGTATTAGCTTTTAGAAGGACACAGATGATAAAATATCTTCAAGTGGAGAACAACAGATACAGAGAGCTTTTTTTTTGCTGCAAGATGGTATTGACTTACACCAATATTAACACAGTTTATATGATTCTGTTCTACAGATTCCTCACTTCGAATGGAATTCTATGGTTCTGTCAACAAAAGGTGAACAGCTAGAATATCTGAGAAAGCAACTATATGGCACCCAGTGATGTCAGACATGCAGTCAAAAGTACTTTTTATACAAACGCTTTATGTACCATTAAACTTCTTGTAACCTGGAATACTTACTTTCAAAAATCTCTTTATCTGTGAGTCAGCTGGATTAAGACTTGCCATGGGGCATCAGATGTCAAGAGATTTAATGCTCCATTTGTTAGGGATTGCAAAAGGTGGGTCACAATGAGCCATGAAGATGTGATAAGGATGCTTACAATCTCCCGATACCTGGAAGCTGTTCTTTAAGTACATGAGTCTGTGACAGTTTTACCATAAAATTACATTATTATCTCCTAAATAAATGGCACAGAGACTTAGCTAGACATTAAACTGTCCAAAGAAAAAGTTGGAAATACTCTTGACTGTGAGAGAGGAGGCAGCAGAGCCACTGGAAACTATGTCTCTCCTCCAGCATGTGACAGAATGAGCAATAGGGATCAAACAGTATCTGTGCTGTGAAACCAAGAAACTGAAATGCAGATTTACTAAGAATAGGACTGCTATTACAGCCGTTCTGTTTCCATCTTCCAGAACAGAGGTACTGTGGGTGACTCTGTCAGGTGTGGGTGTTGTGTGATGAGGAACCTCCAGCTGCTTCTCCTACCCGGTGATGTGGCATGTGCAGAAGAAATATGGCTTAAGCCTTATGGAACACCTTCACACACTTAAAAGATAGACTAGAGGTCTGGCAGCCACCCAGACCCTTGAAACACCTGTTAATTGCAACTTGGAAGGGATACCTGAAAGATTTATACAAGATAAGGAGAAAATAATGCTTGCGTCAGACATAGGCACTTACTAGCAACTGGATAATTAATGAAATTTGTTATTATGGCATTATGCATTGGACTAGCCCTTGCTAATAGATACAAACCAAAATTAGACAAACCGTCTAACCTACCTGTTCTGTACATACGACGGTGTACAAAAGAGCAAAATGAGGCTGAATATTGAAACCAAGAATCAAGACCAAGAAAACTCTTCAGAGAGTGACAACCACCTTCGTTACTGGTGGTGAAAAACATTGCTGGTTTGTTTATCATGTTTCAAAACCATCTGCCAGTTACCAGACTTCCTGTGATTGCTTTCAGCCAGGGTTTGTGTCAGGAGGCGTAAGAATCTGAGATGCAGAAGGAAAAAGTGGAATAGCTAGGAGAACATTCATTGTAGAGCAGTAACTGTAGAATGGTCATACTTCTGCAAATCAGCCCGTTTTCCGAGGCAGCCATGTTGTGACTACAGCTGCCACTACCTCATGACGACTGTGAGCTGTGCCCATCTCTTTCACACACAAAGCATATATGGTTTCTTGCGTTTTTAGCAGAAGCAATAGACATTCTTTTTACTGCTTCCTTTGAAACCTGGCAAAGGTCAGCAACTGCATTTCTGAATTGACCATTATGCACTTGGCTGTCACTTTTTTTACTACTCGGGAATAGAAGAAAATAGTTTTATTAACTGAAGACAGGTCAGGACACTAACAAAAAGCCAGGAGAAACTCACAGAACAGATCGAAGCTGCAAGGTGCTCTCTCCCTGCGGCAGCCCTTGCGTTTGTGGGAAGACTGAAAAAACTAGAAGATGGCCATCTGCTTATGGTATCAAACAGACAGGGGCTCCAAGACGTAGAAGACGAGTGCTTTGTGGAAATGCCACTGAAGGCACAGCACAAAGAAATGCTATATGCACGCTATATTTTGCATAAAATGGAGAAGACAATCATAAATATAGGTTAGGATGTCAGAAGGTGGGCTGCAAGTCAGAGGGCTTTGGCATGACCCTGCTTCCGTACAGATGGCCTTCAAGTAGCAACCTTGGAGCATAAGGTGGCAGTGGCTGTAGCTGAAGTGATCAGTCATGGCTGGTCATGTGTTTGAGCTGAACCCTGCTTTTTAGGTAGCCAGCCAAGCCTACCTCTGTGCCAAGCTGGGTCTCTTCCAGTTACGTATGGATAAAGTTATGAGTATTCACAATGGGAAGAGGATTAAAACTTGCTATGAGTGGATTCAGAAAGGGCATCTAAGAAAAGCAAAATGTAAAAGTATCTCAGTAAAATGTGCTGCTTTTGATCCTTTGCAGTCATTCTTTCTAAATTAAGTCAGCAAGTGTTAGAGCAGATGGGCTGGTATAAACCAGTGATTTAACTGGAGCCGGTGAAAAGATGCTAAGAACAGTTGAAGATTTGGGTCCAAAAGGGGAAAACAGAGAAGGTGTCCCACACATTAAGTACCGGTGTACAGTAACATACTGAAACAAGCCATGATGGCTGTGCCTTTGCCATGTGTTTACCTCTGTCTCTTAGGAAGGCAATGCAAGGGGTCATTTGATAGTTGGAATTGCCATTCAGTCAGGTGTGGTAGGCTTCTTTTCCAGTTTTCCTGCTACACCAGTTGTAATTAGATTGAGATTGATGACATCTTTTAGATTTATGACACCTTCTTCATTCAATGGAGAAATCCTTTGAAGAGACACTATAAAAATGATGGGCGTGCCCTACTTTAAGAAAACTGAGTGCTCTGTTTTGGGCAAAAGCTGTACTAAGAAATCTGTGTCCTGTCAACAGGATAGTGATGATGAGCTGATCACTAAAAGAGAACAATCAAGTGATACTTTTATAGTTTTAAAAACAAAGTTTAATTGTTAAAATTTTCAACATCAAAATGCATCAACTCTTAATTAGATGGAAAAGTCCTCTCTGCCGTAGGTATTTGCTGATGATCAGTTCTTCTAGGACTTTTTCATGCCTGTTAATGGCCTCAGATCTCTGAGAAAAACTTCCGTAAAATATTTGCTTTGGAAATAAATATAAAAGCATAAAAAAGTGGAAAATCCTTGTTACCAGAAGCCTAAACATAGCAGGTGAAACAGCAGAGCTATTAACCTCATGAACTTCTCTCTCCTTCCTCACGGCTGGCAGCTTTGGCTGAGATTGGCATTTCTTAGGCTGCAGAGTATTAGGCCACTTTTGTTTTCAATATGCACTTCAATTCCAGGCTAAAGTATTTTTAGAAGGCTCTAATGAAAATATTTTCAAGATATGGCTGAAGAATGCAGGATTTACATACAATGCTGAAGGGGGAAATCAGACTGTGCAAACAGCCAGTTAGAATAAAATTAAATGCCTACTAGTTGTATTTAATTTAACGATTAGTTCATGGGCATTCTTTTGAGGGTAAGCTACCAATATCCTGATTATCTTGAGTGTATGGAAGTCTAACTAGTTTTATTGGCAATTTTAAAGAGTGAAAAATGGAGTTCTCTCTGAAATCTTCATTTATTCTAATAAACGTTAACTAGAATTCTTCAGTATTTTAAATGTTGGCAAAAACTCAGTTGTTGGTTAGCTAGTGAGTATCTTAAGACTTGGACAGACAGATGAACTGTTTAACAGTTAACAGTGCAACTAATATGCTGCTACAAAACTGTACAATTTGGGGACATTTTCATGCAACAAAACCAGAAGAGCCCATCAAAACTCCCTCACCATATCATATTTTCCAGCATTTTCTTTATAGTTTTGATAACTTGAAGAGGTTTAAGCGTGTGGCCAGGCAGGAGGCTCCAGTAGCATATCGGATCTCTTTCAGTATGCCAATCCATTCCTTCTTTTCATCATCATACCTGCATTTAACAAAATAAGGTCAGAACATAGCTTCTTAAAAATTGAGTTTGATGCTTCATCACACATACATGGAAAGGATAGGATAGTCCACGTGCTGCAACAGCTTGTAGCAACCATGTGCTGAAGGATGCAACAAAAGGCTGCTTTTCTCTTCTAGAACAGAACAGAAATATCTTCTTCCGCATGTGAGTTGTCCTTTTCCTGGTCCCTTAAAGCTTGTTGCTGGCCTGTGCCACACTATAAAAGCTTCTTCCTTGTCTTAAGTATCCCTTCTGAATTCCTTCAGGTTCTTACATATAAAGGTGTTTTTTTCTGGGAATCCTTCCTATCCTTCAGCCAGTTAAAATCTAGAATTTACCTTAGCAACTGAAGAGTCACAGCAGAGATGTGATGTTTCATCACTGCTGCTGTGATTTAGATTTTAAAAAAAACCCTAGGAGACAGGGATTTCTGAATCTCTTGGAACAATTACTCATTTGACTATTAACACATGAATATGTACAAACCTCTGTGTATAGGCTTTTCTGCATAAGAATGTCACGAAACAAAGAATGTTTTTATGGTACATTTACAAGGCTAAACCTGCCAAGAGATATGGCAACCTACTCTTTTTATTAAAGAGTAAAAAGTATCTGAAGATCATGACTCAGACTGTTCAAATTATTAGTAGGTGGAAGTAGTCATTAGATCCAAGTCCCAGGTTTATTTGTTACTTTCTGACAAACATTTCTATCTGTCAACAAGTGCTTTACAACCTCTGCTATGGTTCGTTTCCAGAGTTACACAGAAAACTAGTTTTACCCTCCAGTGTCTACAAACCTCCATTTTAGATAGGGCTTTCCAACAGCAAAGTGTGATTAAAATTAAACTTACTTCCAAATGTCAGTGACTTCACTGGGTGCAAATTCTTTAGATTCAAGCTGAATCATTGCGAAGCCTCCAATAGCATACAAAGCTCCGCTCAAGGTGACTAAACTGATGGAACTTCTCTCTTGGGGAAATTCAGGCATAACCTCCCACCTAAAGGTGAAAAGAAAAACCTAAGTTGAACAAACACATGGGAAATATTCTAAACTGAATGCACTAAAAATACAGCTCTGGGTGACAAATTCAGGTACTGAGAACTGCTTGAGTGAATAGCTTAGTAGAAGGAAAAAATTCTAAGATTTATCAGCAGTGAGCTTCAGTGTCTCCATCCCCACAGAGACATCTCTTCCCAGAGACCACTTCTTACAGGTCGCCTGCTCCCATCATCAGTAATAGGCTTTACACAGATGTATTGTTCCCCAGCTACGCTCATTTTCCCCCCATAGTTTCCAAAATGCCTATTCATTTCAAGTGACATTGACGTAATAATTTGAGTTTAAAAATA